GGGGGGGGGAAGGGCACCTTCTATTAGGCCTCCGTGGAAAACCCAAACTGAAATCTTTCCATCCAGACTTACCAAAAGCTAAGAGTAATGAAACTGACTTTTAAAAAAACGACTTATAAAAGCTCTGAAATGCAGATTAAATTGCACTGGATAAAATGACTAGGATACAATACCAAAAAGAATGAAGAAGAATGAAGATTCATTAGTGAAAACCAAATATACAGTGTACAGCTGTAATGATTAGACTACGTCTACAGAGAAAACGGGGAGAAATTCAAAAATAGCCAAATTTACCACTGGTCGTTGAAAAATAGCCAAGTTTCAAAAGTCATCGAAATTTAGCCACTTTAAATATGAGCGAAAACACTGTTCAAAATCCGGAAAAATACGCCCGCAAATTTTACGGGAGTTCCAGCATAAGTATGCTTGAACTCCGTAAAGTTTACGGAGTTACCAGGATAACTAATGCTAGGAACTCCCGCAAATTTTACGGGAGTTCAAGCATAATTATGCTGGAACTCCCGCAAATTTTACGGGAGTTCCAGCAAGTATAATTGTCCAGTATAATATACTGGAGTTTGGAGCACTGGTGCTCCAGTCTCCCGCAAATTTTACAGGAATTAGCAAAGTATACCGGTCCAGCATAATATGCTGAAGTTCGTACACAAATGCACCAGAACTCCCGTATATTATACTGGACCGGTCCCTGTTGCAGCAAAATAGTGGCTATTTTTCATTGACTTGATAAACGCTGGCTATTTTTCATTGACCAGTGTGAAAACTGGCTATACCATGATATTTTAAGAGAAAATGAGCTTCCACGTGATTCTACAATCCTCTAATCAATCCTTTAAATATAATTGAAAAACAAAAATCTACCTCCATTTCTTTGAAGCTTATTATCTTGGCTTCTTAACAAAATAAAACTGGTAAATCCCTAGATTGAGCTGAACACTGAGAAAATAACCTTCAGCTCAGTAAATGTCTTCTAACCAATCTGTGAAGTCATCTGCCAAATGGAAGTGCCAACCAATCCTGCCGATAACAGCAATTTCCCCCCAGGGCCAGACCACATGTGCAGCTCATGGAGAAAAATACAAGAACACCATTCTGTTACAGCTCAATCAATCACAGTATATTCCACACAGCCTCCAACCCGTTAACATAACTGAAGGTGCCCCCCAGATGTAGGATTTCAACTTGGAGCTGAACACAAGGATGGAAGGATCGAGCTTGTCGAATGGGAACATCTTGAGAATAAGTGCCAACAATCATCAGTTGCGATAGGTTCAATATCAATACATTCCCTTAAATACAGGGTTTGTGCGGCATATGCTAGCTCCATATTCCTCGTATTCTGCCTTTGTATGGCAAGCCTAACATAAAAAGAAAACAATTGGTCATCCAAAAAGAGATTTAAATTCTCCTACTCCAATGGAATACATAAACCAGCAAATTACACGGATTAAGTTCATTTTCCGTAATTAACTACAAAAAAAAAAAAAAAGGATAAACATACCGCAAAAAATTCCGGAGTTGAAGCTAGTACAGAACCTCCAAACCAAACTGCATATCTCTGGATAGGATTGCTGACAACATTCACTTCAACTGGTTGTGCCTGAGTTTAAAATTCCAGCAATCAAGCAACCTTGATATATTGGAGACAATATTTATTTGTCACCTAAAATTCAGGCAAAAATGAGAGGGAAAAACGCTTACTTTGACATTTCCACCTAACCGAGCATCTGATGCATGAACACGGTCATCCACAATCTTCTTGAGATCTCGCTGCAATCTTCTATGGAAGTCTTTGAACATGGTTGATCCTCCGGATAGAACAATATTCTGAATTTCCAAAAAGTGCAGAATGCATCACACTCACATTGAAGAGGATGTTCATACACGACTTCAGTTCATTCGAGATATGAGGAACCTTTTGCTGATCTGAATCACTAGAGAATAGTTATATGGAATTCAGCAACAAAATTACCTTATATAAAGCTCTTCTTGTGTCAATTGGTGCAGACTGGATACATTTGTCAATCACATCAGGTAAAGGGGTCGTAAAATCACTATTATAGATCTCAGGATTGAAGAAAACCTGTGAACACAAACAAAACTTAAAATCTGAAGCTAATCACCATGAAAATTCTCCTATTTTCACCCAGCAATATGTTGATTTAAGCCCAAAGCTCCTTTTTGTTCCTTTTAATTTCTCCCACCCCCTCAGTGGTTCCCAGATTATCACCCTGGCATGACTCAAGCACCACATCGGTAGGTCGGAGGTCAAGAGGCTTAACCCAAAATCTTAACATGAATAAATATATTTTACATAGACTAGAAGTCAAATGAGCATGAAAACTAGATTTCTTTAATTTACGTGGGTCTTTTCTGTTAAATTAGGGTTTAGCAAAAGAGATACACTTCATGCAGAAAATGAAGCAGGGTTTGAGCTGTACATTTCTGGACAATTCAAGAGATTTGGGTAAACATTAAGTGGACAATGCTAATTCATTGACCCAGCATCTTGTATAACCTCAACTCCAGTAGGCTTAAAAGCACAGTGAAAGTAAAACTTTAGAGCTCAAAAGATTCAGAAAATTGAAGGTAGAGGACAACAAACCTCAGGACCAAGAAATCGCTCATAGCCAACATCACATGAATATGGTGCTCCTGTCTTTGGTTTTGTACCTCTCCATTGCTTGATGTACTTCCCTGGCTCTTTATCATGCTTATTAAACTCCTGAAATCATTTGACAATAAGGACCTATTACAAGCAAAAATCAGTTGTAACCTCTAGTCTCAAATGCAAAAGAGGATTCTGAGGAGTTAAAATCTTGGGATAAGTAGCTTGCCCTAATTCAGGCAAACATAGAATACATAAGTCAAGTTTGAGCACTGGATGGATTCTCAGAAAGAACTTCAAACTTTTTTTAAACTACTCTTTCAACTTATTCGTTTTTACTCCTCATGTATGGGCCCATACAAATAGATAATACCTTCACAATGTCAGAACAAGTATAGCAATACGTTTCCTTCACTTTTCGTGCTACTTCAAAAGAATCCTCTGCTGGAACATGCTCTCCCCTTTCCTATATTTAACAAAATAAAAATAAATTTAATCTTTTGAAGCTTGATTAAACAATCAGATACCCTCTCGAAACTCAAAGCTAGGCATCATCCACCGAAGATGCTCATGTCTGATTTGTAGCTAACCTACTAAGCCATAGATATTTTAAGATCTCCTACACGTTAAGGACATTTGGTAATTGGGTAACAGGAGGTAAAAGAGATTGATATCATAAACGAAATAACCTTAGGTGGTACTTCTCAATTCGAGCAACTATGGTCTGAGTACTGGAGAATAAACGCTGGATAATAAAATTTTGCGTGACAAGCAATAGGAGGAACAATCAAAGTGTCTAATGTTATTTACCCTCCAATAACTGCTTTAATAATAACCAACATTAAACTCATAAAAATATCTTATTTAGGTGGTGTTTGGACTAGAAAGTATTTTGGATTTGTTTTTCTTTTCTTCTTTTTTATTTTTTTATTTTGGGGGGGGGGGGGGGGTTGGGGGGGTAACGCTATTTGGATTGGTTTAGAGAAATTGGTTTTGTGTGTCTTAAGAATTGTTTTTGGCTGTTATTTGTTTTCAGGGTGAAAACACTGCTTTTCAGAAAATGAAAACAATATTTGCTTGTTTTATTTTGCTAACAATTGACGAAAAGAAACACAACACATATAACAATAACATAAATTTTTGTTTATTTTATTTCATAAAATAAATAGGCACTAAGAAACTTTGCAACGGCAGTATTCAGAAAAAGATACTTCAGTACGGAAAGGTCTGTACACAAAAGAAAAGGAAAGTACTACAGTTTTCATATAAAATGTTTGGTGCAGCGATTTAAAAAGTACTCCTTCAAACGTAAATGGTGCGCCCAAATCTTGATTCTCCATGAAGGTTGTGAATATCAGCTAACAGAAGCAAATAAGAAAATAAAGTAAACCAAAAATAACCCTGCTGGATAATGATTGTGATCAAGTCTAAAGCTGCCAGTAATAAACTCAGTTCCATCGTCCAGGTAAAGACTCTTCAGATGCTACATTTGGTTTCCAAGAATGTTCAAGGCAAGAAGGGGGGACCAAATTTATGACCTGTTCCATTCCAACGTAATGATGAAACGGCTGAAACTAGGTATTGCTACTATCAGTATGCTCATTTGAACCAGAGGCTTGTGTGCTACAGGAGATAGTTCCCCTTCTACCACTTAAATAAGGTGAAAACTACTCCATGTCCTTGTTTCATCTCTTGGATAGTTGCAACTTTAAGGGATTTCTAATAGCAATAACATTGAGACACAATTCAGGATATAACAATCCTATGATGTTCATCCGACCTGATATATTAGTAAAAGTCAAGGAAAAGTAGTGAACATGCATTTTTTAATTATTAGCGACACATATTTCTATTCAACCACACTATCGAAATGTTGTACTAAAGTCATAAAGAGACAAGAACTGATATACCTTCATGAGCTGCTGAATGAAAAGAGTAACATCTTTCCCAGCAACGGGGATTGACTTAATGCTACTCCCAATAACATAACCTTCAGCAACAGGTACAACATGGGTAGCACCATCTCCAACATCCACTACGACTCCAGTCATCTCACACTAAAGAAAAAACATATAATAACAATTACAAGAAATGTCAAATTGGTAGACCACAACTGTTAAGTTCAGTTTCTGGGACAATGGTATGCAAGTCACTTATGATCAAAAAGAAGACAACAGATAAACAGGATATTATATCAAGCAAGCAATGGGCATACCAAATAAAGCTTGTCATGCAACCCAGTACTTTCTCTCTCCATAGGCAATGTTCATTTTCCCATTTTTCTACTAGAAAAGAAAAGAATGAAGATACAAGGTTGGAACAGACTCCTTGACTCTTACTTTTTTTTTTTCCCTTTTTTCTGATAAGGTCCTTGACCCTTATTTTCCGTGACATGACAAAGATACCAGATCATGCCATTGCGAAAAGACATAAAAGGATTGTATTTGACATACTTGAGAGTGATATAGGAGTAGACGAACTTCAACAAGAATGAATTTTCAGTATAAGGAAATCAATGATTGACGGTGTCCTCACAATCAGAATACTACCTTGCGCGACAATTTCTCTGGAATGTACTCTGGTTTTCTGGAAAACTCATATTTGTTTGTAGGCTTGTCGCATTTCCTGAAGATACATGCCTTTAGGAAAGGTAAAGGGCATATGCACTGGCCATGCTATAGTACGGTGCAGCTGAGCCAAGCCAGCGGACAACTTGCTTGACCTCAGTTGCTTTGACTTGAAAGCGAATCAATTTTGTCAAGCTGAAGTGGCATGCAGATAACTCTTTAAGTTCCTAATAAATTCCAATTTATTCACTCTGTCCAACATGACGCAATATTCAGGATGTCCTAAGTTGTTTGACACGCTTTTACAATGATGACACAATTTTTTTTTGAGATATACAATGATGACAACTTTTACATAGGTAATAAATAGCACTATAGATACTGCTGATTCATACCCAATTGATAAGTTTTATCCAAATTCTTTTTTATACAACAACAACAACAAAAAAAAACGCAGTATAATCCCACAAATGAGTCTTACTCCTACCTTGTGAAGGTAGAGAGACTGTTTCTGATAAGATAAGTAAAATAAGTTTTATCCAAATTCAACAATGAGTAATATTTTTAAGTAGATATGATTTTCATATACGCCAATAAACAACAACCTAACATTTTTTTATCTACTATTACAAACACAATTTATAAGTGTTTATCAAAAAAAACATAATTTATATGTCAATCTAACCTCTTAACTCTTTTATGGGGTATCAAACTATGTCACTGAAAAGGAAATATGTATTTTCTCCAACACGTCACTCCTATATCACCTTCTACCCTTATTCTACAACTGAAACCACACTTTTGATCTATCACTAGAGTCAGGGTGTCCTTAACCAGTTGAAGTAAACCACTAAGTCCCAGTAAACTCAACTCAGACCAACCAATCAAAAAAGCATCTGAACACAAAAATACAGCTACCTAATTAATTCTTCTGACATGCCAAACCAAGTACCATAAGGCAACCGAAATCTCCAAACACCACAACCTCCTATACCAACCATCTCCGGTGACTAAAACCAAGAGAAAAAGGAACTAGGGAAAAAAGAAATGGGGGAAGGGGATATCTAGAGGGACAATTCAACTCAAGATGCAAGATAAGCTTTCTAGGGCTTTCATACAATAGTTACTTTGATTGTGGCCTCACTGGCTCACTCAGATGGTTTGGGCACGTGCGGAGGAGAAGCCTAGATGCGCCAGTTAGGAGGTGTGAGCAGTTGACTTTGGTAAGCGTGAGAAGAGGTAGAGGGCGGTCTATAGTAGTAGAGCGAGGTGATCAGGGAGGACATGGCGCGACTTCATATCTCCGAGGACATGGCTCCTGATAGGAAGGTGTGGAGGTCGAGCATTAGGATTGAAGGGTTATCCTGAAAGTGGGGTTAGTCAGATAGTGTTTTGTCTTGGACTGCTAGTGGAGTATGTTGTGTTCACATTATTTTTCTGTTTTCATAGTATTGTGTAACTAGTACCGTTTTTTGTTATTGCTTGTCCAACTATTTTCTGTCTCTTACAATGTTGTTATTATCTCTCTGGTTGCTACTGCTGGTAAGGATCTATTGTCTTTGTTCGCCTTTTGAGTCGAGAGTCTCCCGAAAATAACTTCTCTACTCCTTCAGGGTAGGGGTAAGGCCTGCGTGCACTCTACCCTCCACATACCTCACGTGGTGGGATTTTACTGGGATGTTGTTGTTATTTATTGTGGCCTCAATGATTCATATATTATTCTGCTACGTTGATTACAAAATTGTGGAATTTTCTCCACTTTCGATAAAATCGGTATTTCTATAATTGAAAGGGAAATTTCCTGCATATAAGGTGTATACAAAAAGTAAAGGCTATACATAGAAGAAACCAATCATCTATACTGATTGGGATATAGGGGGAAGTTTTCTCCATTTTTTTTTTGTGCAGTTTTTGTCCAAACCAAACTAGACAAAAAGGTAAAGATTCTAACGCGGAGTATATACTTTCCACCTTAAAATTATCCCGCACATACCAAAACTTGGGGGCGACCTTTTGACCCCCCTCCCCTAGTCTTGTTAAAAGTGAGTCTAATACCCAATTGCAACAAAAAAGAAACCAATATTGTCGTGGGTGGTGTTCTACATGCTCCGCCACGTCAAATGCTACGCTAGAGGCTCGTCGGATGCCACTTAGCTTTAATCTTTTCGCTCATTTTTTCTATTTCCCTCTTTTTCCCCCTAATTTTTTACTTCTTCTCCATACTTCTTTTTTAATTTCATCTTCCACGTAAGAAGATAGGAGTTTAGCGATTGCCGGAAAACATTGCCTGCGAACCCTCAATCTTTAACCTTTCCTCCTCTATCTTTCCCTCCCTTCTCCCGTACTCCAAAACTTTGCCCCATCATTGCTTCATCTCTCTTTCACCCTGTCATCCCCCCCCCCCCCTCTGAAGATCTGAAATACACTTTAGTCTGTCCCTAACAATTTTATATCTTTTCTTTTAAAGAAGGTTTTTTTTGAAGGTGCTGCTCCACAATATCACTTTAAATATGACAATTAATCGGCTACACCTTAAACCCAAGCAAGTCAAATATGACATAATAGTTTTACCATTATCTTGTCTTTACATCAACTAATGATTACAAACAGATTGGATTTTATGAACAATTAATTTTCTTTTCACAGTTAAAAGTACTTAAACCTGAGTACAGTGAAATTGGGATATTTTTAGATAGCGTCTGTTTAAGTGTTCTGAAAACTTGCAAAAGTGTTTGTTTGGTGAAATGTTCCCAAAATTTGTGTCAAGAGTTGGCTTTTTTTTTTTTTTCCTTTTGAAGATTCTGAAAAAAAACAAAAAGTTGACTTTTTTTGCAAGTTCATGAATAAAAGTTGACCAAACAAACATCTTTCAACAAACTACTTGCAATAGAGTTTTGTAGTTCTCCAAAGGCTCAAACAAACCCAACATTACTAATCTCAAATGTTGTATAAGAGCTTGAAAGAAGCCTCTCGTGGCTCTTTTTAGATGCTTGTGAAGAACCAAAAAGGGTTAGAATTAAGAAATATTATAAAAGAAAAGGAGTCCATCTCCCTTAGTCCTCCTCTTCTCCTTCTTGTTCACCCCACAAGACTCCTTTTTTCTCCATCTCCATTTTCTTCTTCTACTTGTAACACCACCCGAAACCCGTCACCCAACAATGCCAGCCCAAGAGCACTCACTCCCAGTGAGTCTCCTCACACACCTCTTCGAGATACTATTTTTCCCTTATAGCTTCTTCTCCTCCTCTTTTCCCGTAGCCCCTCCAACCAGAAACTCTTCTTCTCCTTTCATCTCTGTCCTTCATTTATCAATTTCATTTGGTCCTTTTTCTCCTCCTTTCTCCTTCTCCCAGGAACCTCCTGTCACCCATGTGTCATCCACTCCCAATAACAGCTCGAAACTCCAGTCAAACCATCACACCAGACACATATCCTCCTCTGCACATTCTCTCATAACATAGGCAACAATCTGAACTTCGAGAAACACAACAAGCTTTACACTATGCACATCAATTTGGTCACTCATCTTTTTATCAATAAAAGTGACATCATTGAAGTTCGTCCTTGTATTGTGAGAAACTAGAGTAAATAATGGACAATTAAAGCATCCAAGCTATCATTTATTACACAGTAATACTCTAGACAAAACAAAGCTACTTGCGAAGCTATAATAGATCATAAAAATGTTAATACCATAAAATATCCAACCTCATATATCATCAAAATCCCAAAAATAAACCAGACAAAGTTCTTAAAGCTAGACTGCCAACCTTAGATGCTGTGTACCCAGCTGCCAGAGCAAGAACCGGCTGCACAGCTATATAAAGTCCCGGAACATTGAAAGTCTCAAACATAATTTCACCGGTATATTCTCGGTTCTCCGGTGCAGTCATAGGGCTTTCAGTCAACAGAAAATAGTGATCCTCAGGGTCACAGCGCAGATAATTGAATATGCACTGCTGCCAGAACCGCTCCATTGCATCCCAGTTATCAACTTGTCCATGTTTAATAGGATAGCTAAGATTGTAAGTGCTACTAGATTTAGATCTACTCACTGCCTCTTCCCCAATAAAGAAATCAAGATCAGCCATAACTCCTGCACTGTACTGAGCTAAGTTGCTGCTCTTAGTCAAAGCTCGAGGCTGATTGATAAATGATTCGTTAACAGCGACAACTGTAGGCAGTATGAAAGATGGTTCAACATTTCCAGCAAAACCCATTTTTGTATACCTGAAAATAAGAGAGAAAAACAAACTTTTGGAATCAAAATGTCGTTGAGGAATTTTATCAAACAGGTGGAGGATAATGATATAATACCCGGTTCCATTGTCAATGACTACAGCTGGGCGAGAGGTAGAAGGGTCCATAATGAATTCAAGAAGGAATGCGAAAGGTTGAATGTGCTGTGATGGATCTGCAGTTGAGATCCAAAGAAGGGTTTAAAGGGGATGATCATGGTCGTAAAGGTTTCAATTCGTCCATTTTTTTCATAGAATAAGGTGAAGAAAGAGTTTGGAATTCATCAAAGTGATCATCGTCTAGTAACGTATGGGAATCAGCCGTTCTTCAATATTGCCTTTTCTGGATTGAATATGGATTCCTTTCTTAGAAATCAAATTCAAGTCTTTATCGGTTGTTTGCTTGGCTTTACTTTCGTCCACGGCAGGTGGGGCTTCTTAGGAGTAATATATAGATGTTCCACATCGGCTGCTTTCGCATAAACTACTAGACTCCATGTGGATCCTAAAGTGTTACGGTCGGCCACGGTACGGCTGTGTTAAATCAAAAATCAAGAAAAACAGTTAGAAAAATAAAAGAAACTGGAAAAACAGAAGAGTTTAAGAAATATTCCGAGTCGATAATTTTTTTGTGTGTCCTTAAGAAATTTTAACCCCCTCACACGTTGCCAAGGTAATGGATTAAAACCTCCCAGGATAAAACGGAATAAACCTTCCTGCAACAATGGCAATACAAACTGCAGTATACCAACGAACTCAAAGAACGGAGCAAAATCACACTTACGAATTTGAGAGAGAGAGACTGCGAATTAGGATGCAGTATATTCAGAAAGAAAGAAGTTCTGGAGTGTTTTTCGTGTGTAGAAAATGGAGCCTTGCCTCAGAATTTATAGGCAATTATCAGAATAGGTGTCTGGAAAAGGTGCCTTTTCAGAAGAATACGCTGCCTGCCGCGGTTCTACCGCGGTCGTGGCAGAACCGCGGTCAGAGGGGCTTTCTGAACCTGCCTGCCGCGGTTCTACCGCGGTCGTGGCAGAACCGCGGCCAGAGAGGCCCTCTGAACCTTCAGCAGGGTTCTGGCGTATTTTCAGCAGTGATTTGGCATTTAATTAATTATTAAATAATTAAATAAATTTTGTCCAAAAATAATCTTATCGATCGATCATTTGACAAATCCAAATCCAAATCCAAATCCAAATCCAAAGTCGAAGTCGAGCCGAGCGAGCGACGACGACGGTGCGAGGGTTCATTCTCTTCAACTCCTTTTAAGAGCTTTAAGAAGTGATTCTATATATAAGCACACAAATATGGTTGTCCCTCACCAATGAGGGACAAAGTGCAAGACAAAAGTTCACTTCTTCAAATTTTCAATTTCCCTCCATTTTATTTCCCTCCATTTCCAATTCACAGTTCTTCTACTTTAAAGCCCAATGGCTTAAAGTCCAACAATCCCCCACATGAATGGGAATGGCTGTATCAAGAAAGATCATAGATGAAAGCTATGTGATTTTGCAAGTAAGGATTAATTGCATCTGGATAAGTAGGTTTCCCTTTGAACTTTCCGTAGTGAACATATGTCGGATATACTCGGTCAATCGGTAGATTTGATATCTTTGAACCGTCGAACTTTAGTGTATACCTAGACAACCATATGTCACACAACCAACCCTTAACCGTCTTTTGGTTCTCATTGTTGTGTTCGTTTTAGCCATGAACACCGCCTGGTTTCATAAGTGCGTAGAGAATTGGCCTTACAGAATTCTCATTGAAGCGGCTTCCACTTCACACTTACATAGGTGATTCCTAAATGTGTAATCCTTTAGATTGACACTATTTGATAAATACCACATCAAACTTAGGTAATCATTAAAGAACGTGTAAAGTTCTATCCTTGTTACTGAACATTGTCTTCATCACGAGAAGGGACCAAAGATTTTACTTTGACAATGTTGAACCGGTCAATCACAACTTTGTTTGAGCTCCTTGAACCTAGATCTCGGAACATCCAAAATTCTAGGTAGAGTTACCGCCATGTTGACTTGTCCTCGGCCATAGTCCCATTCCCTTAGATGATTTCTCAACTCCCTCTCTAGTTAAGCCTTTTGTAAGCGGATCCGCCACATTATCCTTTGATCTTACATAATCAATAGTGATAATTCCACTAGAAAGTAGTTGTCTAACGGTGTTATGTCTTCGTCGTATATGACGAGACTTTCCGTTATACATAACGCTCCCTGCCCGTCCTATTGCAGCCTCACTATCGCAATGTATGCAAATAGGAGCCAAAGGTTTTGGCCAGAACGGAATGTCTTCTAAGAAATTTCGAAGCCATTCAGCTTCTTCACCGGCTTTATCCAAAGCTATAAACTCTGATTCCATTGTAGAGCGAGCAATGCACGTTTGTTTGGAAGACTTCCAAGATACTGCTCCTCCACCAACAGTAAAAACATATCCACTTGTGGACTTTGTTTCTGTTGAGCCGGTTATCCAATTTGCATCACTATATCCTTCGATAACCGCAGGATATTTATTGTAGTGCAAAGCGTAGTCTTGGGTATATTCCAAATATCCCAGAACTCGTTTCATTGCTACCCAGTGATGTTTGTTGGGATTACTTGTGAATCGACTAAGTTTACTTATCGCACAAGCTATATCAGGTCGTGTACAGTTCATGATGTACATTAAGCTTCCCAACACACGAGCATACTCCAATTGAGACGTACTTTCACCTTTATTCTTTATAAGATGATGATTTAAGTCAATTGGAGTTCTTGCACTTCTAAATTCCAAATGTTTGAATTTTTCAAGTACCATTTTCACGTAATGTGATTGAGACAAAGCTAGACCCTGAGGAGTCCTCTTGATTTTAATTCCTAGAATTACATCGGCAACTCCTAAGTCTTTCATATCAAACTTACTAGCAAGCATGCGCTTAGTAGCTTGAATGTCGGCAATGTCTTTGCTCATTATTAGCATATCATCAACATATAAGCAAACAATGACTATATGATTTGGAACGTTCTTAATGTAAACACATTTATCACATTCATTAATCTTAAAGCCATTTGACAACATTGTTTGGTCAAATTTCGCATGCCATTGCTTGGGTGCTTGTTTTAGTCCATAAAGAGACTTAACAAGTCGACACACCTTCTTTTCTTTTCCCGGAACCACAAACCCTTCAGGTTGGTTCATGTAAATTTCTTCCTCTAGATCACCATTTAAGAAGGCTGTTTTTACATCCATTTGATGGATTTGAAGACCATACAAGGCGGCTAACGCTATTAGCATCCGAATGGATGTAATTCTTGTTACCGGCGAGTATGTGTCAAAATAGTCAAGACCTTCTCGCTGTCTAAATCCTTTGACAACAAGTCTTGCCTTGTATTTGTCAATAGTACCATCGTCTTTCATTTTCTTCTTGAAAATCCATTTAGAACCCAACGTTTTGTTACCTGGAGGAAGATCAACCAATTCCCAAGTATGGTTGCTCAATATGGATTCTATTTCACTATTGACAGCTTCTTTCCAATATTGTGCCTCTGAGGAAGACATTGCTTCCTTGAAGGTACGAGGCTCATTTTCTAACAGAAAAGTCAGAAAATCTGGACCGAATGAAGTAGATGTCCTTTGACGTTTACTTCTTCTCGGATTTTCTTCATTAGGCATATCATCTATTATTTCCTCCCGAAGTCGTTTTGACTTTTGGCAGGTCACTTCACTTTCCTTTTTATATGGAAAAATAGTTTCAAAGAATTCAGCATTATCTGATTCTATTATCGTATTAATGTGAATCTCAGGATTTTCTGATTTATGAACCAGAAAACGATATGCCTTGCTATTGGTTACATATCCAATAAACACACAATCAACCGTTTTTGGACCTATCTTAACCCTTTTAGGTTTAGGAACTTGTACCTTAGCTAAACACCCCTACACTTTGAAGTATTTCAAGCTAGGCTTCCTTCCTTTCCACTTCTCATAAGGAATGGATTGTGTTTTACTATGAGGTACACGGTTGATTATTCGGTTAGCTGTAAGTATAGCTTCCCCCCACAAGTTCTGTGGTGAGCCAGAACTTATTAGTAATGCATTCATCATCTCCTTCAACGTTCGATTCTTCCTCTCCTCAATTCCATTAGATTGTGGAGAGTAAGGGGCAGTTGTTTGGTGAATAATGCCATTTTCCAAACATATTTCTTCAAAAGGAGATTCAAATTCGCCACCCCTATCACTTCTTATCATTTTGATCTTTTTGTTTAGTTGCGTTTCAACTTCACTCTTGTATTGCTTGAAAGCATCAATTGCCTCATCTTTACTATTAAGTAAATAAACATAGCAGTATCTCGTGCTATCGTCAATAAAAGTAATAAAATACTTTTTCCCACCGCGAGATGGTGTTGACTTCATGTCGTAAATATCTGTGTGAATTAAGTCTAAAGGACTTGAATTCCTTTCAACGGACTTATAAGGATGCTTAGCATACTTTGATTCCACACATATTTGACATTTGGAATTAATGCAATCAAATTTTGGCAATACGTCTAGATTTATCATCTTTCACAATGTTTTGAAGTTTACGTGACCTAAACGCGAATGCTATAAAGTGTTTGACTCAAGTAAGTAAGAAGAAGCATTCACTTTATTGATAGGAACTGCTATTACATTTAGCTTAAAAAGGCCCCCATTCAGGTAACCTTTTCCTACACACATATCATTCTTACTTAGTACTACACTATTGGAAACAAAAATACATTTGAATCCATTCTTGACAAGAAGTGAAGTCGACACAAGATTCTTGCGAATTTCTGGAACATGGAGAACTTGGTTAAGAGTCACTATTTTTCCCGACGTCATCTTCAACGCAATCTTGCCAACTCCTTCAATTTTGGCCGTAGATGAATTTCCCATGAAGATTGTCTCGTCGGGACCTGTGGGGGCATAAGAAGAAAATAACTCCTTGTTAGCACAAACATGGCGGGTGCTCCAGAATCTATCCACCATTCTTTAGGATTTCCTACCAAGTTACATTCAGACAACATGGCACACAAGTCCTCCATGTCTTCAACATTTTCAACCATGTTTGCTTGATTTTTCTTCTTCTTTTTCTTTTGTACATCATTCTTTGGTGCACGACAATCCACGGCCTTATGCCCAGATTTTCCACAGTTGTGGCAATTACCCTTGAACTTCTTCTTGCTTGGGTAATTCTTTGGTCCAGAAGCCTTCTTTATTCCGGAAAACTTTCCGGGTTTTTCTGCTGGTGCCATAGCATGAGCAGGAGTTGAACGGCTTGACGAGGCAGCCACATTTTTAACAGTAGTACCCGTTCCCGCAACATTTCCATTAGTTTGTTTTCATTCATCATTTTTTCTGTAAAGTTGGAAACAAAGCAGAACTTGGTTAAATCAGTGAAGTTTTGACATCTTCAAACTGAATACCAAACCAAACATACAACACGTAACAATGGTGAAGTTTTTATATACTTCAAACCCATACGTTTATTATTCCGGTAAAGTTTTTATATACTTTAAACCGGACAGCCTGTATGTTTTATTATTCCGGTAAAGTTTTTATATACTTTAAACCGGACAGAACAATTATTGGAGTAGAAAGCACGAAGGCTTTAGTCTCCAAAACAGTATACAAAATAAGACTAACAGTTTAATATATGTTTCAACACAGAAACGTTAGTAAAAAATTCCTTAAGCTTGTGAGCGTTACTGTGTCAAATCAAAAATCAAGAAAAACTGTTAGAAAAATAAAAGAAACTGAAAAAACAGAAGAGTTTAAGAAATATTCCGAGTCGACAATTTTCTTGTGTGTCCTTAAGGAATTTTAACCCCCTCACACATTGCCAAGGTAATGGATTAAATCCTCCCAGGATAAAACGGAATAAACCTTCCTGCAACAGTGGCAATACAAACTGCAGGATACCAACAAACTCAAAGAACGGAGCAAAATCACACTTACGAATTTGAGAGAGAGAGAGACTGCGAATTAGGATGCAGTATATTCAGAAAGAAAGAAGTTCTGGAGTGTTTTTCGTGTGTAGAAAATGGAGCCTTGCCTCAGAATTTATAGGCAATTATCAGAAGAGGTGTCAGGAAAAGGTGCCTTTTCAGAAGAATCGCTGCCTGCAGCGGTTCTACCGCGGTCGCGGCAGAACCGCGGCCAGAGAGGCCCTCTGAACCTTCAGCAGGGTTCTGGCGTATTTTTAGCAGTGATTTGGCATTTAATTAATTATTAAATAATTAAATAAATTTTGTCCAAAAATAATCTTATCGATCGATCATTTGACAAATCCAAATCCAAATCCAAAGCCGAAGTCGAGCCGAGCGAGCGACGACGACGGTGCGAGGGTTCATTCTCTTCAACTCCTTTTAAGAGCTTTAAGAAGTGATTCTATGTATAAGCACACAAATGTGGTTGTCCCTCACCAATGAGGGACAAAGTGCAAGACAAAAGTTCACTTCTTCAAATTTTCAATTTCCCTCCATTTTATTTTCCTCCATTTCCAATTCACACTTCTTCTACTTTAAAGCCCAATGGCTTAAAGTCCAACAACTAATATTAGTACTACTAAGAACCAGTCATATTACATGTCATAGAGATGCCACTTAGGACCTGTTGGTTATAATGTTCAACCAACTTAGTACATATATATTAGCCGAAATAAACCTAACAAAATGTGTTACACCTTTGTCTACTAGGAACTGATTTTCAACAAAATGCAGTGGGACTACAAAATTCATGACTTGATTTAATTTGGACCGCTTGGAAGCTTCCTTTGCCAAACTGTGAAATACTTGATTTGCTTGCCTAAAGATATGTCTGACCACCACCTGCTCCATCCGATGCATCAACCCCCCGCATTCACAAATAATGGGATTGTACGTAGGATAACTATGTTCAAGGCATAGAAGTATATCTGTTGAGTCTGTTTCAATCTCCAACAGACACAGTTGGAGAGCACGTGGAAGTTGAAGGCCATGTTGAAGAGCTAGTAGTTCTGCATGGATAGGAGTAGTAGCATGCATATAGTTATTGAATCCAGCTACTCAGTCTTCTGAGTTGTTTCAGATAACTCTACCAATTCCACAACACAAATTACTAGCTTTAAATGCCCCATCTGTGTTAAGTTTATACCATCCACTAGGTGGTTTAAGCCATTTTACTTTGATGGGCTTTTTAATGTTGCAAAGGCTCCCTGGCTATGATGAATTTGAATTCCATTGTCTATTGAAAAACAAATTTAGGGGATAAAGAATAATAAGTATTGTTTTAATTATTAATATTTCGATTCAACCAGATTCCCTATAGAGTAAAAGTAAAGGTATCCTCCCAAATTAAGTGATTATTGCAAAGAGTAATATTAAAATCTTTAATGGTGAGACACTTATTGGGATCAATGAGGAGATTTGTTGAACCCAATTTATCCCAAAATGCATGGGCAACAGGGCAGGCGATGAAGATATGAGTAATAGTTTCATTTTTATTTTTGCACACAGGACAGGTGATGTACTATAGAAATGGGGCACTTCCAATACTAAGTTCATAAACTTTAGATTATCTTTTGAAGCATTTTAAGTCATTTTTTATGTTGTTTTGTAGGAAATTGCACTTGAAGAGCGAAGATAATGAAAAAGATGTCAACAACCCTGAAGAAATCATATTCGCGGATAGATATGTGATCGCAAAACAGATGTGCAAATCACACTTCAATCGCAAACGCATCCAGGCCTGCCCAATTTCAAAATTTAAATATGCGGTCCATTATGCAGACCATATAATTGATGCGCGGACCGCAGAATTATCGCACAAAGGCAAGGGAACTTATAATGATAAGAAATGACGAGTCTGCAATCCATTATGCAGATCGCGGAATGATCATGCGGACCGCATAACCAATATGTGGTAGAATTTTGGAAGTCTTGAAGATCAAATTTGCGGCGATGCAATTAATGTGCGGTCCGCGGATCACATCTGCGGTCCATTCTTTGATCGCGTAACTTTCTTGAAGGTTTATTTTGTCACAAATTTGTCTGCATTTTTTGACCATTATAAATGGAAGAGCTAGGGCTTTTGTGGGTCATCTTGGTCTAAAAAAGGTCCTACATTAAGAGTATTGAATACTTCATTTATTTGGAGCGAGCTTTTTAAATAAATTCCAAAACTTTGTCTTCATTGTAAGCTTTTATGTCTATCTTTAATGCTTTGTTCTTGTATTTTAGCACGAGTATCTAACTCCAAATACTAAGGTTGTGGACTCAAAGTGAACGTAAGGTTTTTTTACCATTGAATAATATATATATATATATATATATATATATATATATATATAATGAGTTACTGATTTTTATTCATTTCTCATGATTCATTTATGTTTGGTGGTTGCAAACATTAACTCTTGCCATTTTTCTTTATCTTTTACTTGGAAAAGTGGGTTAGGGTTTGGTAGAAATGAATAGCAAGATCTCGAGGCTTTAAACCTTGTTTAATAGAATGCTTAGGAATAAGTGGGTTTTACACTTCTACTTGGCAAATATTGGTTGCTCTTAATTGTAACTCTTTTGTATCTGGAAAAATCATAAAGAGGAAATACTATCTAACTATTGGGAAATATTGGATAGTCATTTCGGAGCCATTTTCATATCAAAGGACTTTCCATTAGAAAAAATATCATATTAACACTGATAGCATTATATTTCATAAAGAGGGACACAACCTTGATTTCTTAATCCAATTAGTCAAATCTCTTAACAAAATAGCTTCTCTTCATAGTTTACAACTATCAAATTCTTTCCAAACTAACGGTGTAAAATACGACCATAGTCACGTGACACACTATTGAAGTAATCCTTTCACGCATATTTCCTGTGGGAATCGATCCCAACCTAGTTGGATTATTATATTTGACATAGACCGCTTTACACCATTTATATAGGTGTAATTTGAGCGTATCAAATTGTGGAAAATACGATTTTGAAGTTACTAACTAGTGTATACTTTACTTTACACCTTTTTCTATTCCATGACACTATGCTTGTTTTGTTTGGTGTAACAGGCAAGCATGGGCGAGCCGGAGAATGTGTTTGCAGATATGGATGAATTTACTGATGATTCAAATTCCACTGTCCCTTCTAGAGTTGACGCGGCTACTTAAAAGTGGACCATAGTCTCTACCTAAGGCGGAGGAGTTCTTCAGAAATTTCACCGATGATGATCCAACACAACACCTCAGAAATTTTGTGGGTGTGTGTGCAATGCATAAGTAGAATCATTTTTCAGATGATTCTTTAAGGTTGAGGGTATTCAAATACTCTCTAGCCAGAGAGGCAAGGCAATGGATTCATAGTCTACCTCCAAACTCCACCTACACTTGGGCCGAACTTGTGCATGTCTTCCTACGGAAATAGTTTTCACAAAGAAAGAAGTTCGAGCTTCGGGAAAAATTTTTCTTCTTCAAGCAATTTCCAGGGGAACAACTTCATGAAGCTTGGGTGAGATTCAAGCAATACTTGCTGAGATCACCAAATCATGGGTTTTCCGGAAAATATATTGTTGGAGAAATTTTACACGGGGTTGGACCCCATGAACCAATCCGTAGCCAACAATACGGCTAATGGATTTTTCATGGACAAGACTCTTGCAAAAGTCAACCAAATCCTCGACAAGGTAGCCGAACACAACCAAACTTAGCATTCGGGCGACAAGGCGGGTGGTGTCTCATATGGTACCCCTTCTTTGACCAACATCGTCAAGGAAAATAAAGAAAGAGCTTAATTGATTGCGGCGCTTGCCACCAATGTAAAATTTTGACAAAAACATTTACGAAAAGCCAAACAAAGAAAGTGAATATTGTGGAAGAAGTACAACATATATCAAATTTTAACTATCAACATCAAGAAGGCCAACATCAAGAATATCCTCCAATGCAATATGAAGAAGCAAACTATATTATTCACAAGGAGGATATCAAAGGCAAAACTACCAAGGGTCAGGACAACAACATCAATGGAGACCTAACCCGCAAGCGCAAGGTAATCAACAATGGCGAAACAATCAAGGTAATTCAAATCAAGGAAATTAGAACAATAACAACACAACAATTTTGCAAATTGGAGTTCAAACCCCTATGTTCCACCAAAGGGCCCATAATCTAGCTCTCAATACTTGCGGAAGAGTTCTTCAAGCGATCAAAGTAATTCCAAATTGGAGACCATGCTTGAAAGGGTATTGCAAAATCAAGAGAGATCCGACACTTCAATGAAAAACATGACCAAGCTTGTGGTTTCTCACACCGCATCTATTCAAAAGTTAGAGATGTAAATGAGAGATCTTTCAAGCGAACAAAACCCAAAACAAAAAGGCACACTCCCAAGTGATACAATTGCGAACCAAAAGGGTATTGGGGATAGCCAAACCTTTTATTGCATGGCCATTACAACTCAAAGTGGGAAACTACTTCAAAGTGAGAGTGAACGGGTAGTCGATGTGGAAGATATTGAACAAGACAATGAGGCACAAGTTGAAATGCCTAATGTTGTTGAAGTTGAGAGAATCCCGACAAAGGTGAAGGCTCAAGATGTGATCCATGAAAAGGTTGAGGAAAAAGTAATAGAGGCACAAAAATCTCCAGCACCAATTCCTAGACCTCCCCCTCCATTTTCTCAAATATTAGCCAAAAGAGTTGATGATAGCAAGTTTGAGAAGCTCTATGAAATCTTAAAGCAATTGTCGATAAACACTCCATTTGTGGAAGCTTTTCAAGAGATGCCCGGATTTTCTAAATACTTGAAGGATTTGATCACTAAACAGAATACTATCAAGAATGAAAGGGTGAGTGTCACCCAGCGGATTAGCTCTATCATGTCAACAACCACCATCCTAAAGAAAGAGGATCCGGGGGATTTCACTACTCCATGCACTATTGGATTGTGTGACTTTGCAAGAGCACTTTGTGACAATGGGACAAGCATAAACTTAATTCCTACTGCTATATACAAGCAAGAGGGATCGGGGATTCATAGGCCTACTAGTATGAAATTGCAAATGGCCGACCGTTCGGTGAAGCAAACGATAGGGATAGTGGATGATGTCCTTGTGAAAGTAGGGATATTCCTCCTCCCCAACGACTTCGTTATTCTTGATTGTGCCATTGATAAAGAAATTCATATCATATTGGGAAGACCATTCCTTGCTACCGAAAGAGCACTTATGGACTCGGAAAGAATTGAGATTAATTCTGGGTGAATGACGAAGAAGTGACTTTTCAAGAAATTATGGGCGTGAAACTACCAAATGCATACAAGAGTGTATCGGTACTTGATATTGTTGATGTGGTAGAAGATGTCGTTGAGGTGAAGATAGAAGAGGAATGCCTTGTGAGGCATTGGCATCGATCTTGATGAATTTTGATGGTGACAATATAGAGGGATATGTGGAGACATTGAATGCATTGGAAGGGTTCGATACATACACATGCAAACCAAATAAGCTTTCTCTTGACTTGGAGAATAGAGTCACTTCTCCCGCCAAGCCTTCAATCGTTGAGCTGCCACTACCACCACACTTAAGGTATATATTTCTTGGCTCTAATGACACTCTACCCGTAATTTTTTCATCTTTGTTAAATGATGTGCAGGTTGAGAAATTATTGGAGACCTTTAAGGAGCATAGACGAGCCATTGGTTGGACAATAGCGGATATCCGAGGGATTCCTACCAGTATTTGTGAGCACAAAATCCAACTTGAAAAAGATAGCATACCTAGTATGGAGCATCAAAGGAGGTTGAATCCCTCCATACAAGAAGTGGTGAAGAAAGAAATTATAAAATCGTTGGATGTCGGGGTTGTTTACCCCATCGCGGATAGTCCTTAGGTGAGTCCAGTACAATGTGTGCCAAAGAAGGGAGTCGTGACCGTGATTAAAAATGAAAAAAATGAACTCATTCTGACAAGGTCGGTGTTCGGATGGAGTTTTCATGGACTACCGGAAACTCAATAGTGCTACTTGCCAAGACCATTTCCCTATGCCTTTTATTGATCAAAAGCTTGATCGGCCAGCGGGAAGGTCATTTTATTGCTTCTTGGATGGTTACTCCAGATACAACAAAATCAACATAGCCTTGGAGGAACAAGAGAAGACGATATTCACTTGTCCTTATGGGACATTTGCTTTTAGCCGAATGTCGTTTGGGCTATGCAATGCCCTGGCCACCTTTCAACGATGCATGATATCAATTTTCTCGGACATGGTGGAGGATTTCTTGGAGGTATTCATGGATGACTACTTTGTGGTTTGTGACTCATTCAAATATTTTCTTGACAATCTTAGGCAAGTGCTCAAAAGATGCGAAGAGACCAACATTATGCTTAATTGGGAGAAATGTCACTTCATCGTGGACGAAAGTATTGTTCTTAGCCACAAATCCTCGAAGTGAGGCATTGAGGTTGATTGAACAAAAATTGGATTTATTTCCAAACTTCCTCCTCCCACTTCGGTCAAGGGTGTTAGAAGCTTTTTGGGGTATGCCGGTTTATATCGGCGATTTATCAAAGACTTCTCAAACATTGCGAGTCCCATGCATGTGCAAGCTTCTTGAAAAAGATTCTAAATTTGTGCTTGACGAGAAGTGCCTCAATTCTTTTTAGGAATTGAAAGAAAATCTCACTACGACACCTATTATAGTCACTCCTGATTGGTCTCTTCATTTGAACTTATGTGTGACGCTAATGGTGTGGCTAAAGGGACGGTTCTTGGTCAAAGACACAACAAGATTCTACGTCCTGTCTATTATGTAAGAAAGACACTCAATGATGCACAAATGAGTACACAGTGACCGAGCAAGAATTGCTTGCCTTTGTATATGCCTTTCAAAAATTTCGGGCTTATTTGTTGGGATCCAAGGTGATAGTTTTTACTGATCATGCTTCTCTCCGCTAGCTTATGGAAAATAAGGATGCCAAATCGAGGTTGATTAGGTGCGTCCTTTGGTTGCAAAAATTTGACTTTGAAGTCAAATATCGGAAAGGAATGGAAAATCAAGTCGCGGATCACCTATCTAGGCTTGAAGAGGCAAGAAGACCAAAGGGAGATCTTGAAATCAATGACGTCTTCCCAGATGAACAACTTTTGGCAATATCTAGCACTTCAACTCCTTGGTATGCCGATATTGCTAACTTTTATGTAGTGGCCTTATTCTCGATAAATTTGAAGCTTATCAAAAGAAGAAATTCTTGAGGGATGGTAGGCAAGGGAGCTAATTTCGATGTTATCGCACTCCTACTGTGGTTTTAAGACCTTAGATAGGTTCGTAAGTGGATTGGCACTTGTGTGCCAAAATGTGTCGTGATCCGGATTATCAAAGTATGACTCGAATGTGTTTGGCGAGTTTGGAATGTTTGAAAGTTAAGAGAATGATTTCAATCTTCGATTCTTGGTTTTGCTGTTATTTGTAGTGTTTTGATCATTTTTATAAGTTTGGATAATGTATTCGGACTTGTTGGTGTGATTGGACAAGGCCCTGGTTGCTCAGGTGTGTTTTGGGTTGATTTTGTTCTAGGTTGGTGAATACTAGCATTGCTGGTTATCAAGGATCTAGTGCAATTGCACCTATGGCCTGGTGCATCGCAACTGCGGAGCTAAAAGTGCACGATTTTGGTTCACAAAAGAGGGTTTGCAAGTGGCCCAGGTGGATCGCATTTGCATTGAAGTTACACCGATGCGGGGCTGCTTGGGCGAAGGTGTGTGCGCAGAAGCGCGTCTGTAGATGCGGTGTGTGTTTTGTAGTAATGATTGGTCGGCTAGCTTAGTGGATCTCACATCTTCAAGTGTTTTGCCGTAGATGCAACATCACAAAAGCGACCTATTTGACTGCAGATTTGGAAATCATTGGCAGAAGGAATAATTCGAGTGTTAGCTTAATTTCATCATATTTTGTGATTGGGAGGCGATTTTAACCCACATGGATTGAGTAAGTTCTCCTAAAATGGATTTGGTTATTATTCATGACTCTATCCTTTATATTGGCATTTGAGTGATGAATTTAAGGAAGAACATTTTTTAGGCAATCCACTAGGCAGGGATAGGGCTAGTTTTTATTTATATAAAAAGCAGAAAAACAAAGTAGCATGTTGTCTTGCGATGTGTAAGACTATAAGATATGATTACTATTACATATATGTCCTATTATCAGTTTTGAGCATGTGATACCCAAAACCGATATTACATAATTATCTAATAAGAGAATGATCTCTAAAGTCTAATAATTGTAAAAAATCAATCATGATGCATACATAACCATAAAGAACTAGCCCTTGATGTCCATTCATGATGTTGTCCTTCTATTTCTTGCGAGTAGAAGACCATGTTATTTGCATTGCCCATGTCCAGTGAATGCATGAGATACCAGAATTATATACCTACAGCCCAATCTCTGCTGATTGCATGCAAAGCCCCTTCTCTGTTGCAAGAATAGTACTGTCCATGTGGATATGCATGAAGTCCATTGTTCCATTGAGCTCATAAGTTCAGATATAAGCACTGCCCATCCATGTGTGATTGTACTCTGTTCACCTTCATTTTCGCCTGATTTCCTTCTGTTTGTTGCTGCAGTCTTAGCCTCAACATCTTCCTGAGTTCTCCTATTATTATGTTTCATTGAAGTATCTACCCAGATTGGATTTACTGATTTAAAAAATTGTTGCTGCAATTGCTTTGTCGCTTATCCTGTCCAGAATTGCTCGCCCATGGTGTTTTTGTAAATAATTCTTATGAATTCATTGTGTTTTTACCTGAACTCTTTGTATGGCTTGACCTCTGGGTTGTTGGATAGTGCTGCATTGAGAAAATGTTCCTCAACACAGCCAAATTACCCAGAATTTGATGCCAAAACCAGCCGTTCGTCTGCCCTTTTCTAATAAGAGACTGGGCAGCAGATTTGCCCCTTCCTTTTATTTGTGCTATGCTTATGCTCATCCATGACTCCCCTTCAATGGGTTGAGTACAAAGTACTAATATCACCATTAGAAGGTTTGTCAATGAATAAGGCATAGGTACAGTAACGTTTCCTCAGAATTGCAGTGTTCTTGTCCTGCCCAGTACTGCTCGACCATGATGTTTTTGTGATCAAAGTCTCGTGTATTCCTTGTGTTTTCTACTGATATCTTTGTACACTTTGACCTCTGGTTTGTTGAGTAAGAGTGCTGCATTGAGATTAAGCACCTCAATGCAGCCAATTTACCCTAGATTTTGATGCCAAAACCAATAGTTCCAGTGTTCTTTGATAAAACAACTCTGAGCAACATATTTGCCCCTTCCAGTCCTTACCATGCTTGTGCTCATCCATGATTCTCCTTAAATGGAATGAGTACAAAGTACTAATACCACCAATTGAAGGTTTGTCGTAAGATGAGGCATGGTCACAGTGAAGTTCCCTGCAAAAAAGAAAACAATGTTAGATAAAAGAACTCCTCACTATGATCTCCTCCATAAGGATTTGATCATTAGAGAGCACTGAGTAATTTGTCTCATAATCAATATGTTCCTTCTTGATCTTTGGGTGGTTTCCTATATATTCAGTTTGTCCATTCGACAAATTTGTCATTTTGATTATCAAGCCATCTGTGACCCTATACACACAAAGACTTCTAACTGTGCACCATTGTTGAGTGCAACATAATTCAATTACTTTTGCGTGTGTTTTGAGTATGCTATCCATTAGGATTGTAGTACAGCTCTCTTTTGGTATTATTGGAGTGTTAATTTGATGTTGAACATCAGACTATAACATCCCAATTGTTCACATTTGGCTCCCAAAGGTTGCTGCCCAGTATGAAATCATTGTGCAGCAGAATTTTCATCTGCTTGCTCCTCCAATTGTCCATGCTTGTGCCTATCCTCAATTCTCTCCCATTGGAATGAATACCAAGTACTAATACCACAAGCTGGGAGTTCCTTGAAAAATATGGCATAGATACAATAACATTTCCTGCAAAAAAGAAAACAAAGTTAGTGAAAAAATGCATCACCATGCTCTCCTCTATCCAGATTTGGGCATGGTACTTTCTTGTTTTGTCTCCAGCTTCACCTCCTTCTATTCTTCCCCTTTTAATGCCTAGCTTCGAGCAACTTTTACTCTCAAATATGGGCATTGCATTTTATCCTCATTGACTATCCTTCTGCCTTGTGATTCTAGATCCCATAAATCATAACATTCAATATTTCCATGATCTAGAGCATAATTTGCTAG